AAAAACGAGCAGGAGTGTTTTATTAGGTTTAAAGCCACAAGCGCGCAGCGCGAGTGGCTTTAGACCTAATAAAACACGACCTGCGAGTTTTTTAAATGACTTCAAAAACGTTTGCATAATAAGTCAAATCTTTATATAAAAATCTTTATATAAAAATCTTGATATAAAAATCTTTATATAAAATCTTTATATAGTTTGCATAACAATGGCCTTTTGTTAAAGTGTTCTTTAGCTGGTATAAAGACGTATGCACGCGACTAATTTCTTACTCAAGATTGGATAATTGCTTCATGAATTATTAATGAGTTTTTGAAAGAGATTTCGAGCACTGAAAAAAGTGGTAATCTCACATGTGAGATTATTTATGATAAACTCACATGTGAAAATTATCGCTTTTCAATTATCGCTTTTCTGTAAAAATTATCGCTTTTCAAAGACTGTCTGCGCTCACTCGTGAGATATCATGTTCAACACTCGAAATAAATCTGGTGTTGGTTACTCCGCTTCCTTTGTCATGCACGAACTCAAAACTTACCAACACAAGTGTCTTTACCATCTCCTGACAAGCCCGGTTCACACGTGCAAGTATATGATCCAGGTGTGTTATCGCACGTGGCATTCACGTGACATACAGGTGGATCTTCACACTCGTTGATATCTAAAAATACAATTGAAAAATTTAACACAAACAAACGTTAAGATAGTTATTACGTAGGAAAGTAACTATTTGCTGCGTAAACCATTCCGGTCATGGCGCGGACGGTTAAACGGCCCGAAACGTTGCGAAAATAATAAAATATTGAAAAAAAGATCTTTGTGAAATACAGTGTAACAAAAGTGTAATGCGAAACTAATTGTTATTATAATATAGCATTTGTAAATTCTGAACGCGGATTGGCTAAGAGCCGTGTTGATATAACTCAATGTCAACACGGAAAATTTCTTTCTTTATGTTTCTTTGTGCTATACCATAAAACAAATATAAAACTTTTTCCGTGTTTCCACACAATTTCCCGTTTTCCCAATTTCCACTCGTGTTGATATACTGTAACTTACGATGGCCAAGAAGGGCCATGACTGTAAACACTCGTCGTTTTTTCCCTTCAAAATTACACTCGCCGTTTTTTTCTTCAAAATTACACGCGACGTTTTTTCAATGCAATAATTACACGCGACGTTTTTTCAATGCAATAATTACACGCGATGTTTTTTCCAACAATTACACTCGCCATTTTTTTAGAGTTACGTTTTAAACTGAGGGTTTCACTTTGGATGAAGATGGGAGCAATCATAAGGTTAGTGTGTTTCACTAGTCAAAACAAAAAATCGTCCAAACACAGTACAAAATTTCACTTTTCAGTCGGTCAATTATGAATATAATGCATTGTTTTCTTTTTATGTTTTCCAAACTATATAAACAAAAGTTTTGTGTGAGTTTGCCAGGGTCGTATATTTATTTCCCTTGTTGCACTTCTTCACATATAAACTGTGTCTTGCCATATCGTATATACGCCTGCAGCAATACAACAAAATCAACAAGAAATGGCGGTACCGGTTGTACATGCATGAGTTACGGCAATATGTGAAGAGGTTATTTCGCTGGCCTCAGAGTGACAAAACGTAACAAAGTAACGGTTCTACTAACACTAGCCCTATTCCAAACACCAACCAGGGCCATACACATGTAGCGGGGGGGGGGGGGCAGGGTCAACTGCCCCCCAGAGAAAATTATAATTACGATTTTTAGAATGTCATATTTTAAAATTATTCTTTGGATATTTGGGACTTTTTCGGCATATAGGCCTACTGCCCCCTGGTGAAAAAATCCTGCGTACGGCCCTGACACCAACTCTAACCATAATCCTGTCCCTAAAGTGTCATTATGAAGTCAGCGAAATAACTTCTTCCATGTACGTGGCACTGGGATATATAGCAACGCTGAAATACAGAAAGATTTTGTTTAGTTTGGAAAACACAAAAGAAAACAATGCGTTAATCATTAGTATAGGTAATCACACGGGAAGGAGTGCAATTAATGATTAACACTACGAGTGATATTTGAAAAATGTGCCAAAATTGCACGAGCCGAGGCGAGTGCAATTTGGCACATTTTTCAAATATCACGAGTAGTGTTAATCATTAATTGCACGACTTGCCCGTGTGATTATTTATTTATTATATACATGACAAAATCGCTTTCTTTATATTTCAACTGCATTTTGTCAAGAGTTTTTAACTCTTTTGTGAGCAATTTGGTATAAACAAACTTGGGAAATGATTATAAACTCATAAAGGCACATAATTTAAACTAGAACACAATATTCAAACTCAAACAACATATTTTAGTCTAAGAAAATCTTTATAAATTGTATTTCAAACTTACATAGTCACGTTTCGCTGCATCCCGCCAAGATTATTACTTAAGACTGTTTCCAGGTATTTTCCACAGGCTCGCGCCTTTTGCCATACAATGTTTCTTAAACTCATTCTTGTGCCAAAATTCAGTTAAATTCGTCCACATTTGTTAGAAATACTTATCTAAATTTCGCCGCCATATTGGATTTTGTTGTTTTGATTTCCCGCTACCCCAGCCATCACGAAAATCATTAATTGCACTCCTGGAGAGTGCAATTAATGAAATAATTGCACTCCTCTTAACCAATCAGATTGGAGTAATTTTGTCATGTATATAATAAACGTTATTATTAATAATATTGTAACAATATTTGATTGGAAAGTTTGTATTTCAGCCGTTGGTACTTGTTATGGAATGGCTATGTAAATCTATATATTACTAAAATCACTAAACTGGCCACATCTCGCTACGATTTTCAAACGGGGAAAGACGTTTGATCATTCCAAATTCAATTTTCGTTCAATCATGTGATCAAATTGTTTCATCATTTTGGTCACATGACTTCACGATTTTGTTATCAATTTATTTTTGTACATGGGTTTCTAATTTTATTATCCAATCAGGTGCGTAGTTTTGAATTAAACGTCAGAAATTCGCTACTCAACAGTCAAGTTATTCAAACGTAATCTAGAAATACATGCATGCAATAACCCCTCGCCTGTTTTCAAAAGATATATACTCAGTGCCGTTGCGAGAACTTCGTCGCAAGGGGGGGGGTGTGGTTAGATAGAGGGGGGGTTACCAAAAAGTTTCCAGATGTACAAAAAATTTTCAGGACATATAATAATTTTTCCGAAATTTAATACAGTTGTTTTCCAAATTCACTTTCTCAGTCATGTCCTGAGAATTACCTGAATTCCCCTGAAAATCTTCTGCAAATCTACTTAAATGTAGGTACTAAAAGTGCACTGGAAATCTACCTGAAATTCATCATGAGCAATAATCAGGGGTGTTGCACCCCACTCCCCCCCCCCCAGTGAGTTCCAAGCAAACACTCTCTGATTTATTGTTCGTGTATTTCGATCACCTCCCAAAATATTGTGCATCATACTATAGAGCATTTTGCTGTTGTCATGCTCTAGCATGGTTCAAATTTATGAATTTTTATTATATAAAGTATAGTGTTTTGCAGAGTTTTCGAGCACTGACAAAAATGTGAATCTCAGATGTGAAAATTCAGATGTGAAATTATTCATGATAATCTCACATGTAAAAATTTATCGCCTTTTCAATTATCGCTTTTCTGTAAACATTATCGCTTTTCATTTAAGACTGTCCTTTATATAATAAACAGAAAAATACATGGGTGGTTGGAAATACCAGATTTATTTTTTGTGTTGAACATGACATCTCACTCGTTCGCTGCGCTCACTTGTTCGCTGCACACTCATGTTCAACACTCGAAATAAATCTGGTATTTCATGCACCCATGTATTATTCTCTATTTAAACTACAGCTAGACTGGTTTAACTTATTATCAATTAATTTATCAGTGATTGTAAAAGTTGGAGATAGAAGTGTTTTGTTTTATAAAATTATCAAGTTGTCGGTGATCGCAAAACCTTCAAATCCTTAATTTCAAATGTTAGAATGTTAGGGTTTGTAATATATACATTTTAAGTGAGACTATATACATTTTAAGACCCAACCAGGAACGACTGCGAAAAATGCAGCACAAGGTCCTCTGGTAGGAATTGAACCTACGGGCCAGCGATTCCGGTGCAGCGCTCTAACCAACTGAGCTACAGAGGCCAGCTGTTGAGCTTTAACCGTAAGTTCATGTATATTTAAGTAATCGGGTGTGCGGGTTATGATAAGGTGGACTTCAATAATTTGGATTCTTGCACTTCACTTGGTGGACTGAATATTAGAATGTTAGGGTTTGTAATCCAAGTGAGAATATATACATTTTAAGACCTAACCAGGATCGACTGCGAAAAATGCAGCACAAGGTCCTCTGGTAGGAGTTGAACCTACGGCCCTGCGATTCCGGTGCAGCGCTCTAACCAACAGTAGCTACAGAGGCCAGCTGTTGAGCTTTAACCGTAAGTTCATGTATATTTAAGTAATCGGGCGTGTGGGTTATGATAAGGTGAACTTCAATAATTTGGATTCTTGCACTTCACTTGGTGGACTTAATATTAGAATGTTAGGGTTTGTAATCCAAGTGAGAATATATACATTTTAAGACCTAACCAGGATCGACTGCGAAAAATGCAGCACAAGGTCCTCTGGCAGGAATTGAACCTACGGCCCTGCGATTCCGGTGCAGCCCTCTAACCAACTGAGCTACAGAGGCCAGCCGTTGAGCTTTAACCATAAGTTCATGTATATTTAAGTAATCGGGTGCGCAGGTTATGATAAGGTGGACTTCAATAATTTGGATTCTTGCACTTCACTTGGTGGACTTAATATTAGAATGTTAGGGTTTGTAATGCAAGTGAAAATATATACATTTTAAGACCTAACCAGGAACGACTGCGAAAAATGCAGCACAAGGTCCTATGGACGGAAGTGAACCTACGGCTCTGTGATTCCGGTGCAGCGCTCTAACCAACTGAGCTACAGAGGCCAGCTGTTGAGCTTTAACCGTAAGTTCATGTATATTTAAGTAATCGGGTGTGCGGGTTATGATAAGGTGGACTTCAATAATTTGGATTCTTGCACTTCACTTGGTGGACTTAATATTAGAATGTTAGGGTTTGTAATCCAAGTGAGAATAATTTTTATATACATTTTAAGACCTAACCAGGAACAACTGCGAAAAATGCAGCACAAGGTCCTATGGAAGGAAGTGAACCTACGGCCCTGCGATTCCGGTGCAGCGCTCTAACCAACTGAGCTACAGAGGCCAGCTGTTGAGCTATAACCATAAGTTCATGTATATTTAGGTAATCGGGTGTGCGGGTTATGATAAGGTGGACTTCAATAATTTGGATTCTTGCACTTCACTTGGTGGAATTAATATTAGAATGTTAGGGTTTGTAATCCAAGTGAGAATATATACATTTTAAGACCTAACCAGGAACGACTGCGAAAAATGCAGCACATGGTCCTGTGGTAGGAATTGAACCTACGGCCCTGTGATTCCGGTGCAGCACTCTAACCAACTGAGCTACAGCTTGGCCAGCTGTTGAGCTTTAACCGTAAGTTCAGGTATATTTAGGTAATCGGGTGTGCGGGTTATGATAAGGTGGACTTCAATCATTTGGATTCTTGCACTTCACTTGGTGGAATTAAAATTAGAATGTTAGGGTTTGTAATCCAAGTGAGAATATAAACATTTGCATATTCTCACTTGGATTACAAACTATTCTCATTTGGATTACAAAATATATACACCAAATATATACATGTACTATACCGGTACATTTGTATATTCTCACTTGGATTACAAAATATATACATGTATATATTCTCACTTGGATTACAAACCCTAACATTCTAATATTAATTCCACAAGTGAAGTGCAAGAATCCAAATTATTAATTTCAAATGCCCCGCCGGGGCTAAGGTTCGAGTGGAAATGCCCAACACCCGGGATGTGCTTTACAGGAAAATGGCTGGTAGAGGGGGATGGGCACACTTGGATTTGGCTGATGCATTAAAAGTCCTGTGCTTATTCCAGACTGCTTGTCAAATATTTACTTGCTAGAAGTAGAAATTTACTCTGACCGCTGGATGAAGAAGACATTAAATAAGTAGTGGTCAATAAACAGAAATGTATTTTATTTCATAGTATTACAATTTTATTTTTATACTATAAAAATAAAATATAAACATGCAGCATAGAATATGCAAATTCGAGGCAAAATTATTGTTGAATCGGTTTATTTATAGGATTTATAACAAATAGCAACTATAAAAGTTTGTACCTTGTCTTCACATCGTAATAGCCAATGCTTTTAATTCTACATATTTTATAATCAGCTCCTTTCCTGGTAACTGCATTTCTAAATGAAATCATCGTGAGTAGTGAGTGCTGAGCAGGCTGTTTTACTATAAACAAATTTTAGGAATTGATAACAACTTTGAAAAATATGTCGTTGCACATTCGGTCACAGTCGGAAAAATGTTCAAGTATGTTGTACCGTCGTTTGCAACTAACGATGAACAGTCGCTCATAAAAACATTCGCGTGATTAGAATCTTCAATGTTTGTCAAGAACAACAACACTTAATTGTTGTTTCACATGTGTGCAATAAAAATAAGTAACAAAACTTTGTCTGAACTTGTTGGGCTAGAGACCTACTGGAAACTTTTACAGGCTTTTTAATGAGAATAGAGAATGTTTTATCTGCAACTGTTCACCCTTAGTTGCCACCGACGGTATGTGATAACTGATATAAATAAAATACAGTCTGGTTATACTGACTTGAGCGTGTCATGACAAACTCTTTATTGGAAAATTGTGAAGAAATAGTCGAATATAGAGGGTCGAATATCATACTTCAACTTGTATAGCTACAGTATCATTGGTACATAGCGTTGTGAAGACAAGCCTTTGCTTACCTTTCGCTTCAGCAGTCTTTTTTTCCATGCTTCTCTACGCTTTCCCAGGCGAGCTTCTCTTTCCTCAGCAGTCTCCTCGAGCAAACGTTGTCGTCTTCGGCTTTCTTGTCGTTTCCTTGCCGCTCTTCATTTGGCTCCATACAGTAGTCCATATCTTTTCAATTGGTATTTGATACCATAATTGTTTTATTAAACTCTTTATAGAGCAAATTGCTTTGAAAGCTGTCAAAGTTTTTTGCGAACGTACAAAATACTGCAGTGCAAAAAGCAAATTATTTTCATGAAGTATCTGTCAGTTGAAGTCGTCAGTTCATCTCACAACAACAAATTTTAAATTTGACCAATCAGTGTTCGCTATTCACGACAGTCCGCTATATTTTGAGATCAGTGAGGATGACCACCCATGAACGGTGAACCATGCGCCCGCGATATTTGATGAACTTTAGACTCCGCTAATGCTTTCGTTTCCCCGGGTGTAAATAGCCGGGGGGAATTAGTACCCTCGCACGGCGCTTCGCGCCGCCGGCTCGGGGAAAAGCGGATCACAAACATGTATGGACAACTATAGACCAATCTCATTCATTTCAATTTTTAATAAATTGCTGGAGAAACTAATACATAGGAGGTTAGTGAATTATATTGCTGAAAAGAATATGCTCTATCCCAAACAATTTTGGTTTAGATCCAATTACTCAACGGACCATGCAATACTGTGCATTACTGATACCATTCAAAGATCAATTGATAACCAAAAATTCTCATGTGGAATTTCTCTTCATTTCAGATAGGCTTTCGATGCTGTTGATGATGCTATTTTGATTCGTAAATTAGAACTTTACGGCGTAAGGGGTATTGCGATAGACTGGTTTATGTCATACCTAACTAATCGAAAACAATTTGTTTCTATATAAGATATTAACTCAGAGTATTAAAATATTTCCTGTGGTGTGCCACAAGGATTTGTACTTGATCCTATTCTTTTCCTCCTATACATTAATGACTTTAATAATTGTTCTTGTCATTAAATATAACCAAATCCAATTTTGTGATGTTCCATCCTCCTCAGAAGAGACTATTATTTCCATTAAATATTTATATCACGGATAAAATTTTGTAGGAGCGAGATTGTATTAAATACCTGCGGGTGATGCTTGACACTAATCTTAGATGGAAAGAGCATGTCAATTATCTTAATAAAAAAATTAAAACATTTATTGGCCTTCTCTCGAAGACCATATATTATGTTGATTTAGGCTGCCTTACTAAATTGTATCCTACTTTAATTTATCCATTTTTTATATTAATATGGTGTAGTGGCTTGGGGTAATACCTATCAAACTATCATAAATCCGTTGTCTATTTTACAAAATAAAGCTGTTCGCATCATGGCGTTTTCTAGATTTGTTTCTAGTTCTAATTTGTTTAATTCAACAAAACTACTGAAACTTGTTGATATAGCATATTTGTATACATCCATTTTTATGTTTAAATATCATAAACACATGCTATACCACTGACATTTGATGATTTTTTCGTTAGAGTTAATGACATACATCATTATAAAAACCAATACCAGCCGACAATTTCAAAAAATATAATACAAAACATAATCCGAAGATAAGCATCTTGAAACCCAAAATATGAGTCAAACAAGAAAGTGAGTGAGTAATATTTCGATTTTATTACAAAATCATCATCATCAGACTAACTAAAGTTACAATATACACATGGTCTTATATACAAGTTGGCAAGGCATGATGACAGCTTAACGGAAGTCTCAATCAGAACCACGACAGTTGCAGTGAGATGTAAGTGTGATGAAATGTGGGTGTATAGATTAAGAAAAAAGCTTGAGTTCTTTGCTGGCTTTGAGTCCAGTGTTTAAACTGGGTGAATGATACTTGATATATAGAGCTTCAATCAACAAGAGTAAGTTAGGTGTGCGAGAATAAATAGTGTGAAGAATTCGAGAGTTGTCAGATATTAAGTTGGAAATAAAAGTGGAAACGTTATTGTCAGCGTCAGTTGGGTTGTTAAGTTTGTCAAAAACAAAGTGTAGGTTTACAATGTATTGCACATGTTCGCAGTTGTGAAAATGCTGTCCAATAGCACTTTTGGTCGGATTGGTATGTTCAGCGAGTCTCGGCGGTAAACGTCTTTCTGTTTTCCTAATATACGTTGCGGAACAGCCAGGACATGTCACCTCATAAACTACATTAGATTTTGAAAGATTCGGAATTTTGTCTTTGTTGGAAAGGAAATAAGAAAACTTTTTGTTGTCATAAACAACTATAAAATTTACAGGAACAGTTAGGCCTCTTTGTATATTCTTTATGCAACTTTTAACTAAAGTTTCACCTTGTTTACCAAGGTATGGAACGCGAACCCAAACCTTAGGCCTAGTGTCGTTTTCATCAAAAAAAAAAGTTAGTGCGAGGTCGATCCGCAGAAAATTTGTTTTTTAGTTTGGATATCAATAAATTCCTGATCGCACGAGGAAAGCCATTCCAAGAC